AAACTAATATAATATAACACATGTAAGTCATAAGTAACACATATCATTCTAAAATATATAATAATATATTTTTTTTTTTGTAAAAAAGTAAACTAAATTTAATATAGTTTTTTCATTAATTTTAAATTTAAGAATAATTTTTTTAACAAGCACCCGTGTAATACACGGGTATTGTACTAGTATATATATATATATATTCCCAAATTAGTGGCACACGCAACGAAGAGATAGAAAACGAGTTATTTTTTTTTTTTTCTTGTTTATATTTTTCGACGTCATAATGACGTTTTCCACAGCATTTATCAGTATTAATTTGACGGTCGCATTCCATTTATCCAAATAAAGTTCCTGTTGCCTTAGGTGCTGGTGGTGCTGCTGCCGCTCCGCCTCTGCCTCTGCCTGGTTTTTGTTAGTATTTTAAACTGGTAAACTACAATTTGCCGATTCAATTGTTTCTGTGTCGAGAAACGTTCTTTCAATACTTAAATTTTGCTTGATTTGTATGATACAGTTCTGCTTTGATTGCACTGGTAATTCTTTGATCCTTTTTTGGGGACGAATTGTGATGATTTTGCATTACATACAGCAATATTAAATGGAATAATAGATGGAGGCATGGATGAATTTGAATACAATCGAACCATCTGGTGTCTAAAATTTGAATTTTGTGTGCAATTTGTGCAATTATGAATGAACTGGATTGATTTCTCAACTCCAGGTCAGGTGTGTGTGTGTGCATGCATGGGTTCACTAGCGACAGCCGAGCTTTGCGACACGAACGCGGCACTCTTGGCAACTGGTGACCTCCGAGTCCTGCAGCCCATCTTCAAGATTTACGGACAATCACGAGCCTTCTCGGGCCCGATTGCCACCCTCAAGGTGTTTGAGGATAATGTGTTGGTGAGGGAGCTTCTAGAAACAAGAGGAGAGGGTCGGATTCTGGTCATTGATGGTGGGGGGAGCCTTAGGTGTGCCTTGGTGGGTGGGAATCTGGGCCAGCTGGCCCAAAACATGGGCTGGGCCGGGATAGTCGTGAATGGGTGCATACGTGATGTGGATGAGATCAATGGGTGTGACATTGGGGTTCGGGCCATAGCGTCCCATCCCCAGAAATCGAACAAGAAAGGAGTGGGGGAAAGGCACGTGAACATTCATATTGGGGGTACTGTGATTCGAGATGGGGAGTGGTTGTATGCGGATAGTGATGGTGTTCTCATTTCCAAAACCGAGCTATCTGTGTAGCTGCTGATGCTATTTTGGTGCCGTGTTCGGTATGTGTGTTTGTTCAATAACTGGAAAGTTGGGACTTGGAGCCTATTCTGCTGGTGTAATAACTAATAACTAATAAGATGAAGCATCTTATACATTATATGAAGCATCTGGCATGCGCCTATTATACATGCAAATATTACGATTTTATCCGTTCTAGCTGAATTTCATTTCAGTATGATGTTCTTATGTAGTTATGTAGGTGTCTTCTTGTAATACTCTTGTTGGGTTATTGTATGTTTACATTACTGAAGTCCAAGATATCATTGGAGAAAATCTTTTAGAGCAACACCCAAAATTGGAATTTCTTTGGAGAATCTTATAGAGCAACACCATATTGGAAATTAGTCAATGCTGTCAGTACTCAGTTTTATTGCTACTGAGAATATAAAAAGTTTGCCCATATATGGAAAAACTAATGAATAGCCAAAATATAATCGACGAATCATAAATCTACTTGCTAATTCAACTAAAATGTGACTATCCAACATCTCGACGCATTTTAAGCTCATAATGTATACCCAAAATGGGAGGAAAAAACATCAACCTCCGAGGAATGTACGGTTTTCTGGAGAACATGGGGACACTCCGTACCAACACGAATGCACAGTAAAAAAATGATGCACAATCACACCAACACACCAATTTAAAATCCTTTTGACCCAGCTGATCAGAACTCTGCAAGTGCTATAGTAAGTGAATGTACTAATTTGCCCCTCAACAGTTGGACTAACCTCCTACTCAAAACAATTTTACTCTGCTCACAACTATTCAGGTGTGTTCCAACACAATTCCTGGATTGAAAATTTGGCAACCGAGAAGATGAATACAAACTTCTTAGATAAAGGAGGTCCGGCCACCCCTTCGACTATGCCTGTCGTAAGCAGTATTGAATTTGTCGACCAGCTCATTCATCGTGCTGCATGCATAAAGAAAATAAGTCAGATGCTTCAAGTAATGGAATATTGGCCTATCAACTGAAAACTTAATCTGCCGTGATAATTAGGATTGAATTCCTTGGGGTGCCTAAAATAGTGGTAGTGATAACTGAGTACATACAATTACAGCTAGAGAGCAACAAATACTGCAACTACATTGGGAGATATACAGATTATGCAGGAAAGCCTAGTTGAACAATCAAGAATTTTGAAATGTACAAGATGATGATAATGATAGGAAAGTACATATAAATAAACAGCTGAATAAAACTACATATAAGCTATTCCATGCCACCCGAGCACCCTCTCCAACTAGGCAAGGTAGGTCATATAACATTAAGCCAACCCAGAACCAGGCAGATTGAAGTGCATATGACGTGTTGGATAATCTTATTCATTAACCACATTAAAAGAGCAAAACTTATAATTTACGTGGAAAAATCAGTTAGTTCTTTCAACCTACGAAGTAAGAATAACTCCGTTTCAGAGCTTCTAAACATACCCTATAGCTTTACATCCTAACCTTTAGAAAAGTACTCAGCAGAAACAGGCATACCTTGAACAGTTGGTGAACATTGCCAGATACGTTATCAACAGAGTATCATTATATTCCTGGAAAGCATAAACATTAGGATTAGAATGCATTCTTCTTTTTACAATTACAAAAGATATGTAGCAACACACGAATGGAAATTTAATTCAAAAATCTTTTTCCAAAGCATTAAAAGAAAATTAAGAGTACATGGTACAGATTAAAATTTGGAATAAAAAACAAAAAAACTGTTAGAAAGCACTCACCATCAAGAAATCATCTTGGAATTTGTCAGATTCGATGGCTGGTAGTCTTCTCAAGAGACTAGATACTTGCCTCAATAAAGAATTGTCACATGGCATTTGACCTGTAAATAGAAGCAAAAACATGACACAAACACACTACTAAAAGCATGTTTGTTTATAGGATTTTTTGGGTTTGTTTGGATTTTTTGTTTTGGTTTGGTTAATTTTGAAAAGATGGTATGGTTAGTTGTTGGTGGGTATATTAAAATAATATTTAAAATAAAATGATTAAAATTAAATTGATGTAAAAGTAGGAGAGAGAATATGTGATGTGATGGTTAGTTAAAATTATGTGAGTAGATGAATAGTGAATTAAGGTTGATGTGGTGTGTATGAATGATTAATTGATATTATTTAATTATATTGATAATATTGATGATAGTGGTGTTGAGTTAAAGTTGAGTTAAAATGTTGGAAATTTTTTGAAAATTCTTATAAACAAACGGAGCCACATTTTGAATCTGCTAATTTCCAGTGCTTCTCGTCAATTGAAGAAAACACATACATTCTTTGTTTACTTGAATAATCTGTCCATAGAAGAAAAGAATTAAAATGCACATTGTACCTTTCTGCATGGCAAGAAGATAGTGATGAAGCACCCGGATCCTGCTATTCAGCATCTTAATTGCACTGTGTATGCCAGTAAGGTGAGCAGCCACTAAAAGATAACGGATAGTAGTTAATAATCAATATTATGATCAAAGACAACTATAGAGAGAAGCAATTGTTCATGCTGTGAGGGGTGCTTTTATCACTTAAGTTGTCACCAGAAAAAAAAAGGGAAGAAGAAAAAA